TCGTATTCAATGGGGAAAAAAATTTAAGTGAACAACCTGGCGCTCAGAAATATTTTTATCTTCATTCCACTATTATTATATTATTACGGGGTATGTGGGAGAGGGTGCGGAACCTGAGTATGTTATCTATGCTTTGATTGTTTGTCGATTGTCTGTAGTTAAGAACAAAGCTACACAATGGGCTATCTGTGCTCTGCCCACCACGGCTATCGAAACCCGGTTTCTAGCATTGTAAGTCACCAGACATACCGCTGTGCCACTAGGGGACGTGTTGAGTTAATGAATTGCAACTGGGAAGCCGCTGGATCTAATATAATATAAACTTACAAACCATGTAAGGGAATAAATGGCGATTTATAGCAAACTGATTGCGAGAAAGGAAATAATTTTCGTGAGGACTAATAACACTAATACATAGTCACGTAAGTGTGTGTGCATAATATATATATATATATATACGTTTTATTTCCTTATTTTTTGCTTTATTCTTTCCATTTCTTATTTTCTGGTTCTATCTGATTTTGAAACTACATCATTCATATTCTTTGATAATGTGTTGATCTTCTTTTTTCTATCCAACATTTGACCTTTCTGTTGTTTCACTTTACACCCTTCTTCACACCGTATTAGTCAGTTTTTCACAGCGATTTCGACAAACACTCTCTAAACGATTCTTCTTTTTCTATCCTGTTCCTGAAAAGCCCAGTCTTCGCAAGCTTTTATTTAATTACATCTTCTGGTCGTTTTCATAATTTCACAAGAACATGACATATTTTTAGCAGGATCACATGTTTTCACAGAACTTTTGGAACATATCCAGCTTTCACTGCTTTACTTCTACAGCTATTTAGCCATGATAAAACTTTAAAAGAAAAGGATCAAGTATGATATCACTTGTACAAGACATTTCCTTCCCTATCATCTTCGGAAAATCCAAGCTGTGAATGTCAGAGAAGCCCCAAGGTTTATCCCAAATGTGTTTTGAGTACTGGACACGTGTAAAGTGTCCATTACATGTACGTATATCAAGATTACTGAATTACGTAGTTGAGAACATTAGATCTAAAATATTATGCAAGCAATTTTTGAGTGCTACTAAAAATAGATTAAAATGACGTTACAAAATAAAGAATTATAAACTGAAATCGTAAGTAGTCCAAACTGTTTTAGTAACTTCGAAACTATGCAGCAAAAACTCATAAAATTATCAAAAAACACCACATTGGTATAAAAAGTATTGCAGAAATGAAGGGATTAAGATTTCATTCAGTAATCATAAATATAAAATATCTTCATTGGAATTACCAGGATTTTTTAATTATTAATGCATCATTATTAAATGTGTATATGCATATATATATATATATATGTGTGTGTGTGTATGTATGCACACTTACAACTGCATGCGTTATAACAACAACTCAATGATGAACACGTTACTTTAAAATATATATTCCTGCGACTTGTAAAGGTACTATATCCAATTACCATAAACTGTTGGTTGTTTACTGCTGATCCACACGTAATTGGACAGATGGGTTAGTTTTCTTTACTGCTCTTGTGTGTGTTTAATATTTAGTAGTTTTAGAGCAGGAATAGGGTTACTAGATTTACAGCTTTGAAACAAGTTGAATTATTATAACACAATTTTACATTTGCTAAATAATCTTATGTATATTGCATCGTGTTTTAAAACCACGGACAAACAAAATTTGTTAAAAGCTCAGATAGTTAAAAATAATAAGCTACAAATGAGTCAAGCAAGATAGGGTAGAACGAGATTCAGTGGACAGCGTTATAAGTAACAGCATTAGTGGTGTGTGCTGAAAACTAAAACCAGGTGGAGCTATATCTAAGTCCGTGGAAGTTTCTACGCATATATTCTTATTTTTAACAAATGTTTTTTAAAAAACTGTTTCGCTTTCTAACTGATCCATTCCCTTAGTCTTTCCTTTGAAGTTTGTTTTACATTTAAAAAAAAAAGAGAAAACCGTTTTCAACACGTAGTTTCAAACTACAGTTTAGATCAATAACCAGATGTTGGTTTGTTTTAGTTGAAATCATTCTTTTTTTTTTCAGTTAACTAATTATTATACATAATATTCTATGATTGAACTGTGTTAGTATTTATAGGCATTTTAGATAGTACGTTCTTCTAATTTAGCTGATTTTTAGTTTTTACTTATCTGACTAGTAAAATTTTCTTATTTAGATTACCATGTCTGCCATATTACAGCTGTTTTAGAGTAAATTCAATGTTTTTCATAAATTCTAAAATGTATTTTAATCCTTCAGAAAGCTCTGGATCTTTTAATTGGTCATTGTTTTGATTCAACCCAAAGAAACTTCCAAAATGCTCATCAGCAGATGTATTATGGTTGACTTACTATAACATATCCTTCTTTGCTTTTCACCCATGGGTTCTTAGAATTATCAATTTTTAATTTTGTCTAACGAGTAAACATTTTGTTATTTAGATTATTATACAATAACAGTTATTACAAACAGTGATTTATAAACAAAAGTTTCACAAACTTACAAGCAATATAAAGTATTCTTTCTAGTCTGGAACTTCCTCGATATCTTATCGAGGGTTCACGATGAGTAAATTAATTACGAATTGACGTAGGTATAATTCACTTAACAGGGAGCTAGCTAGCTTTGTCCTTCGTTATTTACCAGCCACACACGCTGAGTTTTCCCATGATGAATTTATATAATATTTTCGTAAAAATACTAATGTCTGATTAGAATCTACTGAAGTTAAATGATTTGTAATGTTCGAAATTTATAAATGTTCCTGGTCAAATATCTGAAGTTTCTGATTGATAAGCATCATAACAATCACAGTTACAGCTTCCAAAGTTTATAGCACAGTGACTATAGCAAACTAATAATAGATACCCTCTCTTTGTCGCGTCGAGTTGGTTATATTTATAGTGTAACGAATTTGTTGTTATATATTTATTTTAATATCAACGTTTGTTTGAATTGAGTTTATATTTAAAAATATACCTTGCTTATAGTGTTAGATATGTATTGCGAAACTTCCGCCTATTCTCCAAAGTTGTAGAAGATTCTCGAGAGTAAGAATCAACAATATATGTGTGTACATAAACGCTTTAACTTGCATTATTACATAAGACTGAAATTCTAGAACGACTCCACACAGCTATAAATATAACCAACGTGCCGCGCCAAAAGTGAGTATCTATTGTTGCGTCACCGAGATCACGTGACTATTCTCACGCCCTCTAGTTTCTAAAACTATCCCGTACCTTGGCGAATGCTCTAGTATTTACTAGATAGGGTAGGCTGGTATATATAAGAGGGTGACAACGTGACACAACAATGTGTGTGTAGGTAATGAGTAATTGAACTGCGGTCAGAGAGAGACGTATTGTTGAAGTTAACGTTCGTTCGTTATAGTGTTTGTTTTAGCGCGAATATTGAAATTAAGTGTATCGAAAAGTTATATTCGGAAAGAATAAACCAGTTTTATTAAGTAAAGACTTGTGTCGTTAAAGTTTCATCGGAACGAAGTTACGGAAAAATCAATTAACAAACGGAGACGTAACAAATTGGTGTCAGAGGTGGGATAAAAAGAAGAAACAGAGAAAATGGAAACAAGAAGCAGCAAATCAAACTACAGTTTAGCAGATTTGATG